CCTAATATTGGATCTGACTCCAAGATGGACCTTACCTGCAAATTTAATATTGCCCGTAAGCTGTTCTCACTGGTAACCTTCGTACTGCACAGGATACTTCCTTCAACAGCAATCCGAATGATGGTTTTCGGAAAAACCCCGACCATTGCCCTCCTAGATTTTCAGGGATGATACCAGCATTTGTTTGGGTACACCAACACATTGTATATGGCACCCCTTTCTCACTGTAGTGTATGATCATCTCGGACATGCTGTCGGACTTGCCCGTATGCGTGTGTGTACAGTATATACACATGCTAACCCTAAGGTTAAACCTGTACTAGATACCAACATAATGACGAGGATCATGCGGATCATGGAAAGAACAAAGCACACACCTACACACGTACAAGCAAGAAACTCAGGTGAGGAAAAGAGGAGTACCAATTTTTCCTACGAAAAACATAGTTTTGGGCCGAACAACCAACTTTTTCTTAGGAAAAAGTTGGCTTTGTGCCAAAAAACCATTGGTGTTTTTGTGCCAGAAACCAACTTTTTCCTGAACACAGCTTTTGAAACCTATACGGCCAGACTCCAAAAAGATTGTTTTTGTGGCTTTCCCTAGGAAAAAATGGTTTTCAGTGGGAAGCAAAATTCTTTCCTAGGAAAAAATGGGTTTCCGTGGAAAAACTATTTTTTTCCTAAGAAAAAGATGGTTTTGAGATGAAAGACTAACTTTTTCCTAGGAAAAATGGTTTTGGTATGAAAAACCAACGTTTTATGCCACAAACACCTATTTCTTTCCTTAAAAAAAAAACATTGTTTCGGAATCTGGCGGTAATGTCCCCAAAAATGTTGTTTTTGTGTCTTTTGGTTTTCCCTATGAAAAAGTTGGTTTTCCACACCGAAACCAACTTTTTCTAGGAAAAAATTTGTTCTCCCACCAATTTTTCCTAGCGAAAAATTAGTTTTTCCACCGAAAACCAGCTTTTTTCTCGGGAAAACCAAAAAAACATCTTTTTGCAGCCTGGCCGTATAGTTTGCCAAAAGATGGCTTTTTTTGCTTTTGTGTTTTCCCTCGGAAAAAGTTGGTTTCTGATTGGAAGAATACAGTGTTGCCGTTAAGCACAGTGTTGCGGATGAGTGCTTGCTTACAGCGAACCTGAACGAGTTAACTGGCGCTTTCTCTTGAAATGTGAGCTTGGTTTTGGCAGTCTTTCAGAGATACGGAATCCGGACATGCCGGAAAAGCTGGCTTAACACGGTATTTACGATTCAAAACGAGCGTCGGTGGTTCATGCTGGGGTTACCATATAGATATATATATATATGTGTGTGTGTGTGCATATGCATGCATATATATATATCTGTCTTTCTATCTATCTATCTATCTATCTATCTCTCTCTCTCTCTCTCTCTCACACTTCTTCGATACTTCTTCGTAATCATTGCCTTACTTGACAAGCGTAGGAAACTCCAAACTGAAAGATCACGGGCGGCTTTGACGCAATCCCTGGGCCTGCATCACATCGGCCTGGTCATCCATGCTGCGTGCCGGGCGCACCGAGGTACTCTGGCGAAGGGAAGCCAAGACGACGAAACCGCACAGCTGGAACAAACGGAACCTTTAGGGATTTAGGGTTTAGGGTTTAGGGGTTTAGGGTTTAGGGTACCTTGGATGATCTCGCACCCAGCATGTTCAAAGCGGCTAGTGCCATACGGAAAACGCGAGAAGCATTCTGCAAAAGGAGCCGAGCATCATCTCGCGATATGTCGCAAACAAAATGGGTCTGGCACCTTTCCTGAAAGGAATTGTGGGAACAGTCTTGATCCGTGGCAGCAGCGGACAAGAGCACACAACTCTCAAATAGTTATGAGCAAACTATATAAATCAACAGTGCAAGTGCTTGTTGAACTTGTGTTTTTGTTGAAGCCAATCCGCATGCTGCGCAGCTACGATGCGACGAGTGGCGCAAAACAGTAGGCCTGCGTTCAAAACAACAACAGCTCGGTGCACCGCACCCATCCGTTTGATTAGGTGAGCCTTGCCCTTGGGCATGAGCAACCCGGAGACTGCATTTTATTTCGGCTAAGGAATCTGCAATACTTCTGCCGATCCAACCAGGATGCATGCACGTGCCACACATCTCCACAGGCCAGGAGTGCATGGAATGCAAGCGTGTGGGCAGCGGTAGAATACGAGACAACCTCCAAAAATGACGCGGGCCAAGCTCTGTGGCCATCATTGCACCGCGCCTACTCGCACTCCCAAGGTGAAGCTTAGGGCTCTGAGGGTTTAGGGTTTAGGGTTAAACCCTAAACCCTGAACCCTAAACCGTTGAGGGTGTAGGGTTTAGGGTAGCACATGGCCTTTGCCCCAGCGCAGATTCGCCCCACCTCGGCACATCGGGAAGGATCGGACCGAGGTCCTCTCTGAGCATAGCCCTAGAGAGCCGCCAGGCATGCCTCGCTTTTAGGCTTTACTTAAGGTTTGGGGTTTAGGATTTAAGGTTTGGGGTTTAGGGTTTAAGGTCAGCGGTAGTTTTCTCCTAGTTTAGAGAACTACCTATCTGTGCTTCGGGCACGTCGCGGGGCATACGCTTCAGCTCTCTTCTGTGGTTCTGGGGCTTAGGGCTTAAGGGCGCTCTTGAAGCCCAACTTGTAGGTTTAGAGTTCAGGGCGGGTCTAGGGTAACCCCCTGAAGACTCTCAGCCCTAAGTCATAAATTCCTCAGCCCCGAGTCCCTTTTTTCAAGAAACCCCCCCACCTCCCAAAGATGGCTTCCCGAAGCCGCCAGCCCCTTGGGCCCCTCAGCCCCGTAGGAAGCCGTCGCCGACTGCTCCGCTCGCTGCAAGAGGTGTCTGGGCCTCGAAAGCCATTTTTAGGGCTTTCCATTGCTTCGTGGACGGTGGGCTGTCACAAAGCAAGGCTGAGGAAGGCATACTGATGCAACATGCAGCCAGTGACAGGAACTGCTTCAAAGCGCATTTTTGGCAGCAAGGCCAAAAAAGTACACACACATTTCTGTCTGCACCCTCCGCACGGCAGCGTCCAGTCTGCCATTCTCCGCAGGAAAGGGGGCTTTTTGTTTTGGGGGGCGCACTTCCACCCAGGCCCAAGGCCGGGATTGGGGCACGTCGCCCCAGAGCTTCTAAGCAGCCTCTAGGGACATCGGATGTCCGAAGGGCACGGAATTTTTTTGTTGGCAGTGCCGACACAATAAACTCCGTTGCACCTGGCTCCAAGCTCCTTGAGCACGTAATCCGGGCAAGGGCTGACCTCATGAAGGTTTGAGCCCATGAGAGCGTAGCATCCTTGCTTTCGCTTCACCTTTCCGCCCACAATCCAGTCCCAGTACCATTCGACCTTTCAGGGGGGAGAGGGGGGCAATAAGGTATGAAGTCCCACTTCGTATCCAGTGCTGTAGTCTGACGGAAAACCCATAGCTGGTGTTGTAGTCTTCAGGGCCACGGAAAACGCAAACATTCCTATTCCTACATACGTCAAAGACTTGCCACTCGACCTGGCGTACTCCAACATCTGGATTGTACTCGTCAAACTGGGGATCATGGATGCCCACCACCTGTGGCCTGTCATTCTCCTGGAGCTTGTAACATATATTCGCCTGCCTCCCCTTCACCTTCAGCTTCAGGAAGGTACCGCAGTGGGGCCGCGGAGCGTCCTCCGGATCATAAATCTCCCAGTGGCACTTTTCATCAACTCGCTGAAGGACAAGCCACTCATCCTGGGCTCAAAGCTAAGCTCAACTTACATTTTAAGCCATCATATTATGAGGAAACAGGATTCTTACTATAGATCCCGAATATACGGCAACTTTAAGCGACCCTTAAACCCTAATTAAACCCTTTAGATCCCGAATAGCAACTTTAAGCTACCCTTTAACCCTAATTAAACCCTGTCGATCCCTATGATGACAACTGGAATCAAAAACTCCTTAGCACGAACCCAGCGTCGTGCAAGTCCCCGTCCCAGAGCCCAAAGGCCTCCCAGGCCACCTGCAACCGCGCGGACAGCCCCGTCCTAGGCGTCGGGTTTAGGGTTTTGGGTTTTGGGTTTTGGGTTTTGGGTTCAGGGTTTTGGGTTTAGGGTGTCGATTTCAACAGCCCCCCCCC